TCGCAACCGACTTTGATCGAGCTCTCGATCTCCATTTTCGTATTGCAGGCTACTTCGCTGTTCGCAGCCCTGAAGCAGCAGCAACAGCAACAGCAACCGCGCGACAGTGTTGCCTCGTCGAGGGAACGCGAGAACCGGGAACGAGATCGGCTGTCGATCCGTGGCCGTGAGAACAACCGGAGCGAGATAGGTAGCGGCGTGGCAGAGCAATCGCAGCAACAGCAACACCAACACCAACAGCAGCAGCAGCAGCAACAACAGGAGCTCACGATCGAGTATCAGAGCAATGGAAAGCTCAGTCCCGCTGGGCACGCAGTGACAGCAGCACCCATGACCCAGCAAAAGCAGCCAATTATCACGCAGCAGTCGCAACAGCCGAGCTCGGGAGCGCCTGGTCCCCAACCGAGTCCTCATCAGAGTCCGCAGGCCCCTCAGAGGGGCTCGCCACCGAATCCTTCGCAAGGTCCTCCACCGGGGGGACCGCCAGGGGCACCACCCTCGCAGAATCCCGCGCAGATGATGCTCAACCCGGCTAGCGGCATCCATCAGATGCAACAGCTACTCCAACAGCACATACTCAGCCCTACCCAGCTGCAGTCATTCATGCAGCAACACTCGCTCTACCTGCAGCAACAGCAACAGCAACATCACCAGGTATTTGTTCGCGATGATGGAACTTTTGAAGTCAGCGGACAATACTCAGTGAAACATGTGAAAGATGTTTAGGGAATTTTCAGTTCTCAATGAGAACGTTTAATAATATACTTGTAGTTAGATTTTTGATTCGTTAACAGTACAACGACCGGTTACATCGTGGCAGTTTACCATCGAAAGATGAATCATGTTATATATATAAGTTCAGTTATTTGTTCATGTTCGTTTATTTACATATTTAGTGCTTCCACTTTCGTACTTTTTACACATTCATAATTACCTATCATTTCTTTGTACGCGGTGGGAATGAAATTTTGCAAATCTCCTCCGGTCGTTGTAATATTAAGGATTATTGCAATTCGCTGGAACCGAGAAGGTATTTTTTTCATCTCGTCGATCAACGAACTCTGTCGACTGACGTCGGATTGATTCTATTCTTCCAGGACTCAACGTCGGAGCATGCGTCCAATCAGGAACGATTCGGCTACTTTTCGTCTCTAAAGGACGTAAGTATTCTTCCATTCTTCGAACCTTCATTGTTACAGGCGGCGGGATCTCAAGTTTCGTAGCTCGATCCTTCCAAGTTTATTGTGTCGCTTCTTCAAAGTACATTAGCGAAGTTTGTCCTTTTTATCGAGCAAGCACTGCATCTTGGCATGGTTAAACATCTTCTGGATACTCTGCCGGGTAAACACAGACCGCTTTTTTATTACCCACCGGTCTGCCGTAAATTTTAATTATAAAAGCGTGGTTCGATGGATCACGGTACTTCTTTCTCCATTCCTTTGGCGCACTTTTGCAAACATTCGAACAACCTTCCCGGGATAACAGCCACCGAAAGTATGTCTCGAGCTATTCGACACTGACATTCTCGAACGAAACGTGTCTCTTCAAACTATCCGAAACCTCTGAACGTTTAATAATTTCCATCGCATTCCCGCGATGTCGAATTATCAACATTTTTTTTTTTTTT